AGTTCAGAGTGTATCGCTTTAAATGCTACGATGATTAATGAGCAACGAATCAGAACATGGAACAAAAGAGTTGTGGCCTAATTTCAGGGAGGAGTCTTTACCTGGAAGAACCGAGGAAAACGACGGAAAATCCCAGTCCTTACAGCCTGTCTCCGAGCCAAGATCTGAACCCGGAAAAACCCGAAACAAAGCAAGTATGCTTACGACTCAGCCGAGTCGTAAGCACACTTGTTTCAATTCTCCTGTTCTAAAAGCCCAAAACGTACAAATTAGTTTTTTACCTGTAAACAGCTGGCGGCTATCTGAACTAAGCTACTGGAGATTAAACTTAATCTGTAATGCCGAAACATATATTCTTTCTGCATACATTGTCTGGCATCAAGTAAGGTAATTGTGTAATTCAGCTGCTCTACTGGTAGACCTACACAAGGTAACAGTACGTCGACTGATGTATAGGCAGCCCAACTGACAGAAGAGACTGGTAAGGTGCCTATCCTCTAAATGAAAGTTGCTGATGAACTCTAGCAAAAGCCCCATCAATAAGCACAAAAACCATTACAAGAGATGAATAAGAATTCTTGTTGGCATCCATGGAAAGAGGTTAATTTAACACAAGTTGCAACTGAATTGCACAATTCTCTCAGGCACAAATGAGACACATCATAAATAATCATAGACACGCCTCCTTGTACTTTTATGACGCAATGCAAAAACTTTGCAACTCTTACAAATTAATTACTGAAGAAGTATTTAATTGCATATGCAATATCGTTCATGAATAGTTGAAATTTTAAAAAATAAAACATAAAACTGTCAAATTTCCCCGCAGTAACACTGTAGGAACTATGCTGGGGTAGGCATACGAACGAATTGAGGATTCTTTCAGCTGCAATTCCGAAAAAATAATGTTTCTTGCAACGAAGTCCGTGATATTAAAAAAGAAATGGAAGAAAAGCACGTACACCTTACACACTAAATATAGTTGTTACTTAATACAATCAGTGGAGTTAAAAAACTAATTCAAATTAAAATACAAAAGATAAGTGCAGCCTTCTTACTATGGAGTTTAACATCTATGACTCTAATCTCTTTAATACACTGCAGCCAGGTGAACTAATTCGCGAGTTGGTTGCTGCATAAAAAGCCAGGAATAGGATTTCTGTACGATTTTCAATGAATCATAATATTCTTATACAAAACATTTTGTAAGAATTAATTCGGCATTTCCCAGGAATGGTTTCTCCATCCTTTCGGACGAGAACTCGCTGGAGTGTATTTATTCGATCCTGTTCTTGATGCGACCTCTGACCTTCATCCAGCGCCGCCAGTGTGGAAAACTCACGCAGCGTTATGTTTTAAACATCGTGTTAAGCAACAAGCCATACAGGAGCAAACTAAGGTCTCGTTTCACAAAATCTGAATTAAATAGACAAAGGTCTTAAACCAGAAAAACCATTTCTGGAATTTCCAGCTTAAAGCTGAGACATTCGAAGAATGAATTTCGTACAGTATCATGAATTATAACCCGTAGCATATATAGGCATACATATAGCCTATGTAATGGACTGTTTTTATCCTTCCCGTTGATTTCAACGGGTATAAACACTGCTATTTGGATGCTTCCATTCTTGATTTATTTAACAACGTTTTTCAACTGTATCAGTTATAAAACGTCGAACGATACGGCCACTCTTTACTTTGCGAATAACATGGAATAAACCGATCATGTCCTTTAATTTCAGTCAAAAACTGAGGAAAGCAACAAAAATTTTCAGTTAGAATAACCACGCGACATCGAAAATAAAGCGACGCCGATATCAATATATCGAAACGTTCTGATGAGTCCTTTGGCATGGCTACGAATTAATGCCACAGGAAATCCTGGGGCCAGGAAATAACGGTTGAACTATATTTATCTACAAGCCTTTCCATCTCACACGACTAAGAAAGGAGCGTTGAAATTCAGGTCATCATCGTCAATGGACTTTCACTGACTTATAGCAGTAGTGTCCTAGCAATCAATGAAGAGAAAAGCATGTACAGAACAAATCTCACAACTTACCAATTTCATACAACAATACTCTTTAACAGAAGAATCGAAAACAATGTTATACAATATGACCTTCTCCTCAGACGTCTACTAAGTGCGTCATTTTCTGAAACCATAAAGTGGTGAATTCCCTCATAGGAAGAGTAAATATCCAAGCGAAAATCCTGTCGCATTGTCCTATATTTACGCAGGCAACAAGATATTCATTTTTAACACCTCCTATTCATGAGGCATAACCATACGCTCACAAAATAATTACATATGCAACTGCAGTAAAGAACTTTCAGAAAACCTGTAACACGCGTTTCGGCATATAGGCTATCTAATGGTAGTGCAAACAGTTTTCAGCCTGAACTTCTGTTAAGAAAGAAGGCGTTAAGACGCGAGTTTCCAAAGTTGTTCATCATAAACGGAAAGGAAAAGATTTCGTAACGTGGTCAGAGCATTATTCCCCACGGAGGTGTTGCAGTTGGAGAGTGAGAGTTCTAACGCTACGTGATACAAAGCACATTCGTAGGCCTGTATACAAGATAATGCTGCTGGCATTAGAAGGCCTCTACAAAAAAATAATGCTCCTAGCATTAGAAGGCCTCTACAAAAAAACATAATGCTGCTAACATTAGAAGGCCTCTACAAAAATTAATAATGCTGGCATTAGAAGGCCTCTACAAAAAAAAATAATGCTGCTAGCATTAGAAGGCCTCTACAAAAATTAATAATGCTGGCATTAGAAGGCCTCTACAAAAAAATAATGCTCCTAGCATTAGAAGGCCTCTACAAAAAAAAATAATGCTGCTAGCATTAGAAGGCCTCTACAAAAAATAATGCTGATATCATTAGAAAGACTCTACAAAAATTAATAATGCTGGCATTAGAGAGCCTACAATGGAGATAATGCTGCTGGTATTCATAGGCTGATTTATAATATAAACTGCTGACATTAGAAGGCCTATACAAAAGATAATGTTACTGACACTGAAAGGCCCAAACACATATAATTCTGGTGGCACTGGAAGGTCTACAGTCTATGCTCGTAACAAAGAGCATCGTAATTCCACTGCAGTAAAAAGAAAGACGTGGAATTAAGTTTACATGACTCCTTACTCGTAAGAGGATCTACAGGCTTAAATATCTTACCCTTCGATGAACATTAAGTCTATATTTTACAGAAACTGAAGAAATTCCTACATCACAACCTCATATAACGCCCAAAACTAGAATTCTACTAAACTTTTAATACTATGAAGCAAGGCTTGAGTTACCAGTGACATCGAAGACACAATAGTATTAAAAAGAAGAAACCTGAATAATTCCAATTGCCCGAAGACTGGAGCAGAAGCCTGTAAATCCCAGTTTCCCCGCAAGATACACTACACTACCAGTGCACAATTCATAATTTTCTTCTGGTAAGGCAAGGAGGTAATAGATTGCCTGCATCTGTAGGAAATGACTACAAAATACAGTAATTAATCGAGCATCAAGAAAGTGTTGTGGAATCCTGGAACCATACATGCTACGTTGTGTCTGCAATCAGTACGTTACACACTTTCTCTGCGACAATTAACTGAGACATGGCAGATGTTAGGGCGATTACGAAGTACGTGAGGAACGAAACACTATGGCAGAAATCACCTAGACTATAGAAGAGTTAACCATTTAAACATCCAAGAAGCAAAAATAACGTATTATGGAATATTAATTCGCAAATTAAGCAGTCTGCTGCCCGCTAACATATTCAGTGGGGTATCTGATCAATGAAGAATAAATAACATTGAACCCATCATGTTCCTGGGCGCGGAAGCTTATGTAAACAATTAGATAATAAACAAGTTAAGATTTTCATTCGATATGTCTGTGGAGCAAATATCAGAAACGCCTACACCGAGTTTATTTCTCATGATTCTGTCAATTCTTCAGGATTTTATAGCTGCTTGTCCGTTCTTTTCTTCCATTTCAAAGCTGCCCGTCAGTCGGAATAGCCCAGCAACAGGCTGAACTCTCGCATAAAATATAGGCCAAACAGGTACAGAAACAAATATACAGTTAAGTGCATATAAAGGATAAATTGAGGAATTCGATCCAGATATAGCAGAGTTGACTGTGTGAGTATTTCTTGGCTCACAAAATACATTTGTAACCTATTAAACGAAAACATTAGGCATCCCAGGAGTTTAACAGATGGGGTGCCAAGTGAAGACAGAGAAAGTAAAATCTCCACAAGAATGGAACAAGTGAAAAGAAAAACAGGTAAGTTTGAGGTCGACACCGTCAGACGAAGACACCTGAAGATACAAACCTAACGAGAGAGAAAGACAGAATTACAAGTGGAGAAATTAGGAGCGGCGTTCTCCCACTCTGCTGTATAATTTCTTTCCACTCCCATTTTCTTTACAGACGCGAAGTTACAGTCCTACAGCATGGATCGCATTCTGTTATTAAACCTTGTGTGACTGCAAGAAACAAACAACTTAAACGCGTAACGACTCCATATTGTCCCCTGAGACATTACAACTGTGCCCAGTACACAATATATTTGAGTGCAAAGTGGCATTTGTGTGACATTAATGGTCATTGTGAAATATAACTGAAAAAAAAATTGATGTGTTGTCAACTACAAGGTCAAGGTCAACAAATGTACATTTACAAATATTTTTAAAATTACAGCATACATTTGAAATACGCTAGTGAAAGAAATGCAACGTTGGAGGAACGTGACAAAGGTAAGTCTATGCAAGGATGCATTTTAAGCATAGTGTTGAACTTAGTAGACATTCTATCTTCAACATAGCACATTCCATACAAATTAACACTGAAAAAAGTATTGTTTCAAATAAATGGTTACGAGAAAATACTTCATAAATCTTCTTAAAAATTTAAAGTAATGACAGTACAAGTGCATGAACTAAGAATTTCAGGCGACGTAATAAGTTCACTTATTGAATTCACTGTGAAGAACAAAGAAGTTTAACGGTGTGCTCGTCGTTACATCACGCCGCGACTAACGCGTTACAGTACGTACAGTAAAAACAAAATGTTCCGGGCCTAGCTTAACGTGTAAAAGCCTTGAATGGATGGCGTTTACATTATCTGGTCTGATAGTGCCCGAGCACCGTGAACTTCATTTAAAGAGCCTAACAATTTTAGGCGAAGACTGCAAATTATTATTAATCGTGCTTTATTTATTTACGATTTATTTAACGAAGCTGCCAGTGTGTCAGACTACGTAGTGTGAATTGCAATGGATAAGGAAGGAATCGTGTGATAATTTAAGGTTCTATTCGGAATTTTGAAAACCAATGATATTTTTGGTGTGGTAATTGTCTTGACCTGAAAATGAACACCAACCTTTCAAAAACGGAGTGAAACAGCAATTCATAATACGAATTTTTAAATTAGTATTATTATTTTCCAGGTTGTCTAGAAATGTGAATGAAAAGTTTTAATAAAAGCTAACAAGAAGTAGTTGACGCATAATAAAGGCCAGTTTTGGAAACGAAACTTGAAATATATGGTCCTAATGAGGCGCGATTTTGAAGCACTCCCGTGTCAGAGAATGAAAACTTCGCCAATCAATGCACAGGATGAAATAAATGTAAAGGTGTTCTTTTGTGTTACAGAATTGACAGAGGCTGGAATACCAGCAACAACAAACACAATAATCATGCAACGACGTCACCTGCTCTATCCTTTACCAAGTTCGCGTTTCAAGATGCATCTCCGTGGTTGAAAACAAGCGTGAAGATGCCGCCTATAACGACTCTCGGAGCCCTAGCGGGAAGCAGCGGTCTCATCTGGGGCATTGTTCCACTGTTCGCGATTGGCTTGGCCTACTTCCGTTACAACACCTTCGACCCTGAATCCAGGCCGATAGACATCACCGAAACACTCAGCGAATATGATTTTATAGTTGTGGGAGGCGGTTCGGCAGGCGCTGTCGTTGCAAATCGCTTGTCAGAGATTTCCAACTGGTCTGTGTTACTGCTAGAAGCCGGAGGACACGAAACTGAAATATCTGATATACCGTCACTTGCCGGATATCTTCAGCTGTCAGACATGGACTGGAAATATCAAACATCACCGCCGACAGAATCTCAGTACTGCCTTGCAATGCTGGGTGACAGGTGCAACTGGCCACGCGGGAAAGTACTCGGAGGTTCTAGTGTCCTGAATGCGATGGTGTACGTCAGAGGAAATCGACATGATTACGACCACTGGGCTGAGTTGGGAAACGAGGGATGGAGCTATAAAGAAATTCTTCCTTACTTTAAAAAATCAGAAGACAACAGAAATCCTTACATAGCGAGGACTCCATATCACACCACAGGTGGCTATCTCACTGTTCAGGAGTCGCCCTGGAGAACTCCCCTTTCCCTTGCTTTCGTGCAAGCCGGTGTTGAACTGGGATACGAAAACAGAGACTGCAATGGTGGGCGTCAAACAGGTTTTATGATCACTCAGGGAACTATCAGAAGAGGTTCACGGTGCAGCACGGCAAAGGCATTCCTACGACCAATACGTTTACGAAGAAATCTCCATGTAGCCATGCACGCTCATGTCATGAAGGTACTGATAGATTCTTCGGGTACACACGGTCGGCCGAGAGCACGAGCAGTACAATTCCTGAGGAACAGCAATTCGAACATAGTGAGGGCTCGACGCGAAGTAATACTGTCTGCAGGTGCCATAGGATCACCACAGCTGCTGATGCTCTCCGGTATCGGACCAAAAGAACACCTCCAACAATTCAACATACCCGTGATCCAGGATCTCAAAGTCGGGCATAACCTACAAGACCACGTGGGTCTAGGTGGTTTAACTTTCGTCGTAGATGAGCCCGTCACTTTCAAGAAATCCCGGTACCAGACAATACCAGTAGCCTTAGAATACATGATAAATGAGCGCGGTCCTCTCACAATCCTTGGCGTGGAGGGAGTTGCCTTTGTCAACACAAAATACGCCAACAGTTCCATAGACTGGCCAGACATTCAGTTTCATTTTGCACCAAGTTCCATAAACTCGGATGGTGGAGAACAAATACGACGAGCACTTGGTCTCCGTGACAGGGTATACAACACGGTGTACAAGCCCCTCGTTAAGGCGGAGACTTGGACCATTTTACCACTACTCCTCAGACCACGAAGTACGGGCTGGGTTCGACTCAGAAGCGCGAATTATCTTCATCATCCTGAGTTAATACCAAACTACTTCGCCTTCCCCGAGGACGTTGCTGTATTGGTAGAAGGTATTAAGATAGCTATAAACATATCATCTACCCCTGCTTTTCGAAGGTTCGGTTCCAGGCTTCATACGATACCAATGCCTGGATGTGGACTGCATACTTTCCAGTCTGACGAGTACTGGGAATGTGCGTTGCGACATTTTACATTTACCATCTATCATCCGTCTGGCACTTGTAAGATGGGCCCGCACTCAGACCCTGATGCAGTCTTAGATCCCAGACTAAAAGTGAGAGGAGTGGAGGGGCTCAGGGTAATAGATGCGTCCATAATGCCAACGATTATCAGCGGGAATCCCAACGCTCCTGTAATAATGATAGCAGAGAAAGGAGCTGATATGATCAAAGAAGACTGGAAAGTAATTTGACAATTTTAAATCGTTGTTGGAGGACGCCTTAGTTTCTTATCTTCGGATTATAAAACTGTTTTGTACCCAAATGACGTGATATTTACAAGGCACAGTAACACATTAATCTATAAAATAAGTCTACTTTACTAAATATCAGAACAAAGTAAGAAACACTGATGCAATACAATAGTGTATTAATTCCAATAGACAATTTTGCATTAATGTTTGTTCAATATTCTTCGATTATGTCAGCTTCTAACAACTTCATGTTAATCACAACTCTTAAGACTGGAAACATTTAAGGCCGTATTGGCACTGTAACATAAAAGATCAAGAGCCAAAACATTATATTAGTGTTCCCATTAATGTGTTCAATTAGAATGTCGCAAGATTAAACATTAACGTGTGTTATATGTGACTACAATGTAACCATACAAGTCTGTATAATGTAACGCATGACGGAGGAGTGAGTGTTTTAAGAAAGCACTACAATTTTATACGAACGAAATTTGACGACCTTCGGATGAAGGGCTAAAATACTTGTGTACACTAAGAACGTATCATCCTTAAAGCACCCTACAGTAAATCATGCATCATCGCCTTTACTGGTAGTGCTGGTGTAACTGCAGACGGTACCAAAGTACCCGGCTGAGTTAAACTCAATCCATGGATCAGTTTCGCTATTTAACAACAGACAACTTCACGCAGCTACATATTTCGACGCATGCACAATCATCATCCACACCACCTGCAGTTTCTAACCCCAATATATAAATTTCTCATTTAAATCTCCCATATTCCTAGGCGCAGCCCTGATTCTTGGCTTTGTATTCCTTCCTCTTCACGTTAAAATGCTGTCGAAACAATTATTCGAAAACCTTTTCAGAAATTACATAGTGTTACACCAGATTTCAGTTTCCTACAGAGGAGATAATTAAAATTACGTACAACGATTCTCACACAACACAAAGTTTCATCTGCTGCTCTTAATATAACTAAAGAGCAGGTGTTTCAGGACATGAAAAGCCTAGAGATAGTCGTTTTCTCCTACTAACTCTAGGCCTACGTGTTCCTTTAGCAGGTGACTTCGACTGAAATGCGAAACAACTTGTTAACAAGAAAAGACCACATCCTGATGGCTAAATAGAATAGAAAGCCACTGCCAGCAATCCTACTCCTTTAGAACTATCTCTATTCAGGCACCCTGATATACAACAAAAGGGAGTGGAAATTTTCACTCTGCAATAAATTACATCGCACTGGACAAACAAGCTGACAAATCTGTGGGGGCAGAAATATGTTTTACGTGGCAGGTCGATTAACAAAAGTGCTGAATATTTTAAAACAAAAGCCACCACCATCACCACTTTGGCTGGTCACTAGTCTACCAATGAACGCTACACTTAATAAGTCTGATATAATTCGTCATTTTTCTACGTGTCAAACTCTATCCCTATTGACATTTATTACATAGACCAAGTACTGTAAAAATACAAAAGGGTGTTTCTAGAGCTGTCCAGGTCTGTGTAGTCTCTGAAGTCAATTGCGTCTTGGCAGGCCTAACTGCTTCAACATGTCGTATGAAATTTGTTCTTCAAAGATTGCCAAAATGTTTTCTCTTTTGTAAAATAATATCTTCAGATTTCACCTTCCCTACATTATCACTGTACTTTAATTTACACATTCTAAAAATTTAATGTTGTTTCATGGGTTTGGGAATTAATCGTAAACCCCACAGTGACATTCTAAATTTTACTTCGACATCCCTAAGAGCCAAAACACTTCAGCGAAAAAAGGCAGAGGATCTGATGCCATAAGCGAAGATGATAGAAACGCTCTCTTTCGACAGATCTCAGGAACTGGGTTATAATAACAGTATTACACGCAGTAAGACTGATTACATCTCCTGCAAATAGATGGCGTACAGTAGCTTTCCTTGCAAGCTTTTACACCATAAAAATGAAAGCTTGCGTCAAGGTTCGGCGTACTCAACAAGTCAGTGGTCATGATCTTGAGTCTATATTACGACGATAAATGAATAAATACGAGGTCCGCGGGCATCCAGGTAAATCCAAGATATCGATGTAGCAAAATGCTTTGCTTCGTATTCGAGAGGTTATGGTTTCAAATACAGGTCCACAGACAATTATCCTGCTTCTTTTTACGGTTTTCCTCAGACCTTTCAAGTAAATTTGGGAACTGTACCTTAAATTAAGACACGTACTCCTTCCATACATTTATCAATTCATAATTCATTAATCACGCTATGATTCGAAACTTTTGCATAATACGCAGACAGTGTCGTTTTTTAAGCAATAAATATATACATTCACACAGATGACGCGCGGTCTTGGGATTAGGCCTTGTTTGCTTGGACATTCGGACCAAGGATTCGAATCCCACTCAAGGCATGGATGTTTGTCCGCGTCTTTCTGTGCTGTATTGTCCTGTATAGGAAGAGATCTAGCGTAGGGCTCAGCTCGTCCGAGTCCTACCAAATCTCTGAATAGATCAAGGAACCTCACCTGCCAGGTAGGAGGACGCCAAGGTCCTTCAAGGGCCGTAGAGCCACAGACAGATAACACGGTCAATGGAACGTAGAGATGGAGCAGTAAGTACTGTCAGTTCAAACTTCGGTCAGAAAACCGACTTTCCAGCTGATATTTTTCGTGACGCAACCCAGTTCTTGCCACAAGTGTCATGAGATCAGACTGAGTTAAGATTGGAATACATTCTAGAAATACCTGTTCCTATTTATATCACAAGCTGTTATCGTGTCGTCTGCTTGTCAATATTCTGAAGATAAGACCAATGAACTTTCAGCTGTTTTGTTTCGGTGTGAAACGTAAGCCCTTATTTTGAAGAAATAACATAAATGACGCTTTAGAGTAAGCAAAGAACACCTTACGGGCCTGTCCATACTTGTCAGCTGCACCTTTCATCACACTGTTTCAACAATGTCCCTGGGTCACATAGTTGCAACAAGGCCCTTGAATACCACTGTTGTGTTGATTAGACCCGTGGCTGTCCTGCTGACGTCATTGCCAGTGATATGACGTAAATAATACCAATGGAATTCTAGCGTACTCCAAGGAGCATACCGTTCCAATCTTCGTAACACGATAATTCTGAGCATTCTAAAAATTATAAACCTTGGAAATAGATGAAGGTGAGTGTGCCCCCCCCCCCAACACGGTACCCTATGTGCAAGAGCTGATGGGTTCCAGATCCAATCAGGACTTTTGGCGAGAAAAAGAGTTTTTGCCACTGCAGGGAATCGAACCACGACTGAATGATCAGCCAGTTATAGTCACTTCACTGACCAATCTACCCCAACAAACATACGAAGCCCTTCCCAATCCGTTATCCATGATAATTCCGTAACTTTACACCAAAAAATCATATGAACGAATATTCTGGCCTTCCGTAACAACTCACGCATTCTACAAATAGCGAGTTTCACTACCAGTTAAAAAGGCGACTGCATGGAGTGTGTAACAGACCTGACATCAAGAATGCATTAGCGTTCAGTGGAGCACTATAACGGGGTCAACACTGAACGTCTCGCAAACGTAATCCAGAAATAGAAATATTGAGCTGCTCTTCAGCAGTTCATAAAAATACGGT